ATTTCCCTGCTGATAGAGATAATTGACTCGAAAGTGCTCTATTGATTGAGATGATTTCCCTATTGTAGCATCGTACGTCGTCATTATTGAATCTGTCGTAGTGTCATTGAATATTGTATATTGATATTGAGTAAATTGTATTGAATATTTGGATTGACTGATTTGCAAGAGTACGTTCTGACACGAGTCCCTTATTGAATTAATTGATGTTATTGATTGCTATTAGTTGACACAGATATCCTATTGATTTGATAGATGATATAGATACAACGAATTGACTAGACGACACGATTGATTGAACCGATAGTATTGATTGATAGACACTGCTACGATGGATAGATATTGACTGGAAGCACTTATTGATTTGATTGCTGAGGCGTATTGATTTATCGATGTTTTTACCGCTGTATTGATTATTGACTATTGATTTCCGTACCGCATTGACTACTGATTGGATTTCCGCATTGCATAGACTCATTGACCATTGATTGACTTGATTTGATTGACCTGCATATTGATAGCATCGCCGTGCTTTGATTTCAGTTGTAGGCTTTGGTGACCTGCTGGGCTTTGTAAGCTCATTATATATGGTTGAAATTTTCAGGTCTGAGCAAGGAAGCTGGAATGGAGATATTGATCAAGACTGTCAGACGAATCCTTTCACTATTGATATCTGGGGCATCACATCCACCCCGACGCCACCTCGGGTTGCCTGGTCACAAGTGTTGAACATTAGACTGATCATCGATGTCAGACCTTTGTCCGACCACCATTGTCTGGTTTACCTCAGACCATGATCGCCCGCCTACTATGGTCTATCTGACCATTGTTGCATGTCGAGTATGGTCTCTCTAACCATCATCACCTGCCGGCTATAATCCCTTAAACCTCTATCACCTTCCGACTACGATCCCTTCAGCCACTGTAGCCTATCGACTACAGTCCCTCCAACCACTATCGTTGGTTGTCTACAATCTCTCCAACCCTGACCTCCATCACCCGCCGACTATGATCCCTCTGACCTTCATCGCATGCCAACTACAGTCCCTCTGACCATTGTCGTCCCCCAACTATGATTCCTCCATAACTACTTGAGTCTTGCGATTTTCATTACTATTATATCATAGAATCAATTATTACCACTTAGAATTTTTTAAGTTGAATTAGTTATAACAACAACAAATTTTTACATAAGTTTGATTTGTAGCGATTATAACTGTTACAAATTTAGATATTTTTTCATTAACATACATATTTTTATAGGTGATTTTTTTATATAATAGTCAAGTTTATAAAATGGCATTCAATGAAGTAAAATCATAAATATCAAGATTATGAATGATAATCTAGACATCTTCTTTCATTATGACATAAAACCTTCATAGATACTTGCAACATACATTACAACAGTTTTAACTGATGCAATTACAAGGCACAATTAGTAGTATTTTTAGGCTTTATTTGAGATAACTTTCTTACTGTTTTAAAATTAATAAAAAAATTTGTGCTAAAAATTTCTTTAATGAAAATTTTTTGTACTAAAATTTTACTTTAAAAAGCAGTGAGAAAGCTATCCCAAACGAAACCTTGAAACCATTATTAGAAAATGCTTTCTTAGGTGTCAAATTTTGGAAGTACTATAGTTTATCATGGATGCATGCTATATTACTATAATAACAATAATCATTATTATTGATAATTGAACATATAAAATACCATTAATGCTTTTAATTTTGATTATTGTGCATCAACTTAAACATGCAAATTAGTATATATATTGCTTCTCTAATTCAATGTCACATATATTACTATTGTAATGGAAACAATAAATTATTATCATATCCAAAGTTATTCATAAAATAAGTTTGAAGTTTCCCATCAACATTTTATTTTTCCTTCAATGAAATTTGAATAGTTAGAATTTAAAATGATAATCCATCAAAATTTATAATAAAATAAATTACCTTTGATCACGATGAGATTCAAAATTATTAAATTTATTTTGAGATGAGAACATAATATATAATATTTATCTAGAATGAATCTAACGGCTCTGAATTTCATCATCACAACAATTTAGGCTTTTATTGCGTCCTCCCACCTGACGTAGAGATACGTCCTCCCACCGCCAAAAAACTCGGTTTTTGCTCGGTATTGCTAGGTATTTTTTGATAATAACGAGAAATATCATCATGTGAAGACCAATACCGAGTTATACCGAGCAATACAAAAAAATACCGAGTTTTTCCTAGGAAAAACTAGGTATTTTTTTGTATTGCTCGGTATAACTCGGTGTTGGTCTTAACATGATGATATTCCTCGTTATTGTTTGGTATTGCTCGGTATTTCTCGTTTTTTAGCGCGAATTTAGCTCTGGGAGGACGTATCTCTACGTCAGGTGGGACGACGCAATAAAAATTCCTATTTGAGACGGCTTTCTTGTTGCTTTGCAAAATCGCTTTTTAGTATAAAAATCGCTTAAAATTAAAGTAGGAAAAAAAAAAACAATTCTCTAAAGCTATTCCAAACGAGACATTAGTCGAATTTTTTGATCCAAATTTTTTTCTTCTCGTATCTTTTGAGCGCCCTCTCGTACTCGATATCTTGGAGTTTTATTGCATCATTAGCTAGGGTTTATATCATCAAAATCAATAATTTGACAAATGAGAGTATTATTTAACTTTCAAAAATGGAGAATCTAATTATTTAATTAAGAAATAAACTGCATCATAGAGTTACTTAGACCAATTGAATCATAACAAGTCCAAATGCTTAATAAGTTGCTGTTCATATAGTGCAATATTTTAAATTATCTTTCATTATCATGAAATTTTAAATTAGTAATAATTCAAAATAAATTGCAGAATTAAATAAAAAAATTGCACACTTTCAATTATTATTACATAATTAAAATTGCAACGTAGTAATGAGGTGGTGTCATGTCAGCTACTTAGCTTAAAATTTTGTTGAAAAGAAATATTTTTAAAGCACAAATCTTTGTATTAATATGTTTAACAATGACTTTTAAGCATAATAATTTGGTTAAGAGCCCTAATCAATCGGATTCATGTTTGCTCACCCGCGGTGGAGTCATTGGTTACGCTCACCTCCAACGTTTAATGCCGCGGTTCACTGCCCCGCCGACGCTGCAACGACGGCCAGCTGTCAAGATGGTAAGCTTACCGTGAAACACGGCGGATGAGGATGATTCGAACCCGCGATTCGCACCTATAGTCACGAAATGACTGGCTGGTTAGGGCTTCTTTTCTTAAACCTCCCCCGCTCCGTTTTTCATTAACGCCGTCATGCGACACCCGAGGTCTGGCCCGGGGCTCCTATATAATCGATTTAACGGTATCCGTTGTCTCCGCGACGAACGGAGAACCGAGCAGTAGCGGACACAGCGGCGGAGGAGGAGGACAAAGAGATAAAGCCGGGGAGAAAAAGATTCGAGGGCTAAGGAATCGGAGAAATCTAGTTCCGATCCGAATCCCCTGCAGGAAATCGAGCTTTTCTGAGATCCAGGGGCGTCGACTGGGGTGAGAAATTGCTGGCATTGTTCCATTTCTCTCCGATCTGTTTGTTGTTTTTTTTTACGAAGATCGTAAAGTATATTTGCAGCGGAATATTGTTTTACTTGGTCTGATTGGACGATCATTGTGTCTGTGGTATGTGTGATTGAGAGGGGAGGGCTGTTCAAGCTTCTCGTCTCAGTCTAATTGTTTTGTACGGATTTTAATATCGAGCGTTTCAGAATGCAGATCGAGTGATTACTTGCTTGGTTTATGATATATTTCTGCATTTGAGTTCTAGAATTGCATACTTTTGTTGTTTGGGTTAATGAAGCTCGAGTGCCTTGTGTAATGTGTAATGTTTCTCCAGCGACTATACTCTTTTGTTTAATATAATGAATAGCATGGAGGTGCTCGTTTCCCGGTTTTACTGCATATGCTTTGATTTGAGTATTTTGCTTGTTTGTTCAAGAGATTGATCATATTCCTGGAAAAATCTGGAAGCCAGATTTTTGGTGCTCTCTTTAATCATGAAGAGCTTGTATTTGTATTGATTTGGGCTACCTTATTTATTTTTTTGGTTGGCGAAAGCCTTTATGATTCTTCTTGTGAGCGTTTTAACTATTATCGTTTGTTATTCCCAAGTTTAAGCTAATCAATAATCTCTAGGCATTGGCTTAACTTTTAGTTGGGTATTGGTAGGATTTTCTGCAGCTTTGAATTTGTTTGACTTGGTACATGCATGTTATTGTATGTCCTGCTGCATATATCCTAGCTTACTGTCATCCATCCCTATGGCTCCTTGCAAACTGAGATATCTACAATTGACGGCTTAATCAGTTTGTAACTTTTAATTACCTTTTGCTATGTGTTTTTTTAATGCGCTCCTTTGAGTTTGTATGATATGCTACATACATGTTATTATGTGTCCCTATGCATATTGTTAGGCTTACTTCTGTCCACCCATATGGTTTCCTTGTAAACCCAGATATGTACAACATTCGGCTCTTAGTTTTTATGATATTTTGCTGTAGTTTTTTATGCATCCTTTGCATATAATCGAACATGTGCCCATCTATATGATGTAAAGGTGTTTGTCTATTGCATGTCTCGGATTTAATTGTTTTGTACACGAAAAAGTGAATAATAATATTTGTTGAATAAGCAGTTTTAATCCTTAAGTGAAATGGTAATGGAAATATCGAAGGATCAAATATGATTCAAAGTATTAGGATTGTATTCAGAAAGTCCTAGATTGACATTCCTAGGGATCTTGAAGTTTTCAAATCTATTTGCTATTTTATGGAGTTTATCTATTTACCATCTTCATAAATTTTTGAATGTTATAATTCCAATCTTCAATTTCAGACAATCTAACATCTTCTCCATGGCTTATGTAGCTTGATTGGGAAGTAAAATTAGGCCATGCCTACATATGAAGAGTCAGAGCACAATGTTATTCACTTTTCCCATGACAATGTCAAGTGCACGGACTATCAATCATCCAAATCATCTGAAACTTCCATGTCTCATGAAGCTATAGAGGGAAGTCCTGATCGAAAAGCTTATGTTAGGATTGTAAATTCAGAATATGGAGAAAAGGAAGGCAGTGTAGCTTCTCCTATTGGAGCCTCTGTGTCTCCACATGAAAATTTTCTGCAGGAAAATGAAGTAGCAAATATGGAAAATCTTAGTCTGGAAGAGGGGTCTCTGAAAGAGAAGTTGAACAGTGTAGCCGAAAGATCAATTCAGAATATAAGTTTGGACCCTTCTTCCCAGTTGACTGCTAAAGCTGATTATCACAGTGTACGTTCCAATCACACTGTTTCTCAGCCCTTTTCCATTGCTACTGAGAAGCGTGCTTGTTCAAGTGAGCAGAAAAAGCTTGCAAATTTGAATCATGACGAGTCACCAAATCATGTAAAGAAGGCTCAGGTTTGAATGTCATTTGCCTTTATACTCATCTTAATTTTTCTTGTTTTAAGATACTTAATTCTTGTTTGTTAGTTGTACAAATCTTGTCCTAGTAAGGAATATGAGTCCTAAATGATGCTTTATCTATTAAAAAAAATGTGCCATTTATGCTCCATGTATCTAGACAACATGCGCGGTAATCAGTTTCATTTATGAATAAACCACAGTCTTTCTTTGCTTATATTTTTTTTTTCCAATTCATCTTTTCCTGCCTGTTGATGTGATTCTGTATTTGGATTTTAATCGAAAATTAGCTTCCATTGTTTTTGCTCTGAGAAAATGAACTCTCTTGTTGTCTTACAAACCATTGATGCTAGACATTGATTCATTATATCTGAGTACCTAGAGTTATTCATAGATCATGATATTTTGCTGGAGTGCCGTGTTCATTTGTTTAGGCTTGTATGATACATTTTTCCATAACTTTGTTTAGGTTAAAGATAAATGCATTACTGATCCAGTAGTGATTATTTGGTTATCTATTGTAGGCTAAATCATATATTGATTCAAGGAAACCCCTTCAGCCTGAGAACACAAAGCATATTGATGAAGAGGATGCTTGCTCTCTTGCTTCATCGTATCCTTTGGTGATTGTATTGGTATGGTTTTGTAGTCTCAATTCTTTTCTGTTAACATTGTTAGTATGTCCTTAGCGATGCATAGGACTTCGGCTTCTTTGAGAGCATTTAAAAGTAGAATCACAGTTGCATCTACGCCTACTTTCAGATGCAGTGAGCGTGCTGAAAAGCGCAAAGAGGTATTTTAATCATTTTTCTCATGCATATGATACTTTTTGTTAGCTTTAAGCTGACTCAACCCTTATCTATTCCTGTCATGCCAGTTCTACTCAAAATTAGAGCAAAAGCATCAGGCACTTGAAGCAGAGAGGAACGAATTTGAAGCCAGAAAAAAGGTTTATTTTCTATCAGAGATATTGATTACTAATGACTGTTAAAGTTAATTTATCTTTCTTTATTTTATCTCTTTTTTAACTGTACTGAAGCTAACATTTTTTATTCCGATTCAGATTTTCTATCTGACATTTGGCAAATTTGCTTATTGCAGTTGATATGATCATTTAATGGGTAATGTTAAAGTTCACGTACTGCCCAATTTATTTTATTTATCTAATAATCCACGGGATTAAGTATGGTACTGGGAGCCAGTAATTCTTTAGGTTCGGCATATGTGTTTGGAAGTTACATAATGTGCTATTTGAACATTAGAGTACTTTTCCATGTATTAGGCGGTTCATCACACGTGTTGCGGCTCCAAGTGTTGGGCCGTCCCTCTTGCTGCTACAACAAAATATGCTGGGGAACGCAGTGTTGGGTAGCCTTCATGCTGGAGTCCTACAGTTGGCGATGTGCTAACCATACAACTTCTTGTTGTTTGTTTCCACATTTTCTGGTTTTTTTTTGAGTCAGCAGCAGGAGCTAGTCCTACGTTGAGCAGGAAAACCAGAAGTCACATGTTTAATGCTTGGCTTTTGTTGACATGAGGGTGAATGATAAAGGATAGTCCCTCAGGTTTCTCCCAATTGCTGGGACCCACCCACATGCTGTTTTATTTGGAACTATGGTTATAACCCAAGGCATTAGGGGTGTTGTGCTGATTGATAACCAAGCTGCAATTACATTTGAGTTTTGTGCAAGCAATAGTTTTTGGTGCATTGACTATATATTTTGGTTGCACACTTTGCATTAGTTTGGGATTTTGAGTGATTTGGTAACATCAAGTGGTATTTGTTGGTTCCAAACTCAAAGCTAGATGCCCTGAACTCAACATGTTACATTTTGGTCGCTGAAAGCTTGAGCTTTTTAATTTTTGATGAGCCAACTATTTGAATCTATCATTCGATCAAATATTCACCTTGTTTGAGTATCTATGGTTTTCTTAGTGAAGCAAATTATCTGATATTGAGGCATCTCAGCTGTTTAATAAGCCATCATATAAATTTACATCCGCAATAGCTGTCTGCTTAATAGGTTACAGGCCTATAGTTTTATTTGGTATAGTCTCTCTTAATTTATATGATTATAACTTCTTACATATATTGCATATCATTTTTTCTGAGAATTCTGTCAATTATTAACCTGAATATGAAGAACTTTCGGAATATTTGATGGATTTAATCATTTATATAAATCTCAAAATTTCATATATTTTGATCTGTACTTCATATGTAATATATTGCATGATCTCAATTTATGGATCTGTGGTTTTTATATTAGTTTTTATATTCCTACATGGCATTCTATCTGCATATTTGAAAAAGCTCTTAGTGGTATGCCTACACCTTAAAAACATGATATTTTATTATTTTTTTACTTCTGCGTCCAATTGCCAGGCATTGTTTTTCCACTCAAAAAATAAGCTATGCTTATTATATGATGTTCAGTTCACACTGTTTTAGTTTCATAATATCTCAAATTTGGGTGGTTATTGTCCACAGACATATCTTTTGCATTTTCCAGGTTGAATTCCTTGTTGCCTCTAGCTCTAATGTATAGTATTTTTTATTAACAATCATACACTGTTTAGCATCTGAGATGGACATGAAAAGGCAGTCATTTTTAAGGCTGCTGGTACAATTGTTTCTTCTGAATTCCTAGTGTACATGAGATGGCGGTCATCTGTTTGGCATTCAGGATATGTGCTTTATATGTGCTTGTGCATTTGTGGGTATGTAGAGGCATCTATGCAATAACTTAATGACATTTTAGTTCTCTACTGCCACTATACAGTGACATCGTCATGCGCTGTGTTGGAACATATTATCCCAGGTTTTCTATAATTGAAAACTAGTCAAGTCAAGGAATTCTGAAAATAATATCTGATGCTTGTAATTTATTTCCGTCTTGCATGTTTGTCACTCTTTAGAAAATATGTATTGTGAATTCCCTGCAATTTATTTGACGCTATTTCAAAACCCCCTTTTTTCTTATTTTGCATGTCTTTTACGATGAATGCCTATAGTTGAGAGCATTTACACTTCTGAACGCGGATACTTTCCAGAAGTTTTAGATAATAAAAAATCTTATAAAATTTGTATGACTTTATTACAGTTTTAGTATCCCATTTTAGTTCTGATCTAGCTTAGTTTGTACTTTCATTTTATCATAACGTATTTTTTCCTTCGAAGTTTGGGAGGAATGGTCTTATGTATCCTTTGTTTTTAATCAAGAGTCTTATTGCTGTAATTATTCTGGTAGTAACAGCTGACAATATGTTTATTAGCTAGTGTGTTAGATGAATTATAGCCTACTTTATTTTTCAATTTTTGTCTCTTTATGACAGCTCACCTCATGAATAGCGCATTAGTTCTTATGCTTCAAATGGCTAATGTGATAACTCTGAGAAGCTGGGAACTTATTATGTATTGCGTTTTGTTGCCCCTTGAAGGCGGGATTTAGTGTTTTGCGTCAATAGTTGATCATAATTTGTGCCAACTTCTTGTGTATGCATTCTATAGTTGATTGCCTTGAGAGTGATCCAACTACAGAAGATGCGCTATGTTTTTTTTTTTCAATTGATTTTTATGGCTTTCAATCTCCAGGAGGAACAAGAGGCAGCTTTGAAACAGCTTAGGAGGAATATGAATTTCAAAGCTACACCTATGCCAAACTTCTACCATGAGGGTCCCCCACCTAAGGCTGAACTTAAGAAGGTAGCTGTTTCTCCTATTTATAATTATTTTCCTACCAAACTTGTGCAGGTTCTGTGCTTGTCAGTGGACCCTTCGTGCCCAACTCTTTGTAGTAATACTTTTCACTTTGTCTCTACTCGTATGTCATGTATTTGAGGGCATACATGTTATATCAATTATTATATTCCTGTTACTATCATCAATTTTTTATGTGAACTGTTGCAGTATGTGCATATTATTCTCGTGATGCTTGCTTCATTTTTTTTCTATGGAATTAATTTGGTAGGGCATAAATTGAGAATTATGAAGCAATCTAAACTTTATTGGCTTCAGTGATCCTTATTTGAGTGTAAGGCTAAAACAATCATCTTTCCAATATTGGATGTTGTGAATTTTTTTGGTTTCATTCTTTGGAAAATGAAAATGTATGTTTTAGCTACAAAATCAGTGTTTCAATAGAAAAGATGATTTTAGTCGCAATTGGGATTTCAAGAGGAGTGAGCACACTGTTTTTTTTATTCTTGATGCTCAGTTTGGGATTATATTCACGGTTATGGTGCTCAGAGAGGGAGAGGATCAAAAGGAAGTTACCTGCATGGATTTGGCCAGCAAGTCTAGGAAATTGAGAGGAGAGAGATGTTTGTGAGTAGTGATAGTTAATTGGAGAGAGGGGTAATAGTTATTAGAAGTTTTTCCTAGTCCATCTCTTGGTGATCATGGTTAAAATAACCCCCTTTGTATAATTGTGGGTATAATTGTGGGTAAGGATGTTCGTACAATTTATTTGACGCTATTTCAAAACCTAGAGATGTTGGTTTGTTTTGGATGTGATTCTGATTATTTTCTTGGGTGTTCACCATTGAGATGGATGAATCAAAGTCATGATTTGACTTATTCTTTCATGGATTCTTGTCATTTAATTGTACACATGCACTATGTGCTTTGTAATGTTTCAATCATTTACGACATTTTTTTCTTGTAATTTTCTTATGTTGACTTGGAGCATTTAAATTCCATTTTTTTTTTCATTTAACATTTCTCTTTTGAAATTCACCATTCAAAAGCAACTTTCCATCATCCCGAAGTTTATTTTTTAAGAAAATCAAATCTTATTTAGGCAACAGATTGATCTGTTGTATCTGTAGAGAATGTTGAAGTTTGACCTTCTATTTATAATCTCAAATAGGCTTATTTGGAAGGAATTATTTTTGGAGAGATTTCGACTTAATATCATAGAGTAGTGGTTATTATGAATGTTATACTTAAAAAAATGATCGAAAGAGATAATTGCCCTGGATAAAGTGGTGAAATTTGAAAGGTGCTAAATTGTAATTTTTCGGGATAGGTTACTAAGAAATGAAAATTGAAATTCTTTAGTGAAGTCGAACCTAATGTGTGATAATATGGCTAGTTTCGTTAAGAAAATTAGCATGTAAGTTTTAGGAGAATTTAGAAACATATCATACATTAGTAAAGAAATTTGGTGTTAGAGTCAGGAGAAATTAAAAATTATCAAAGAAAACAATGTGCTTTTAAAGATTGTTTAAAAAAATTATATTATTCATGCTTATAATTATTATGATATTGCTAAAATTCTTGCAGAGCTATTAGTGAGCAAAGCGAAAACTATATAATTTGATTTATGATTTATTTAATAGGGTTTAGTACTGTGGAAGGATATATATATAGAAGTGAAGTTAATAGGGTCCTTGTTAAAAACGAAAACATCAAGGAAAGATGGAATTATTAGTTTGAGAAATTAATAAATAAGAATCTTAAGGCAGAATTTATTGTAGAAGAACATAGTGAAAAAATAATGAGATGTATAATTTATGGGTAATAAATATTTGTAGCAACGGCAGCTCTGAAGAAAATGCAAAAAGATAAAGTCTTTATTCCATGTGAGATATCTATTGAGATTCAGAGAGTTGTAGGAGATACTATTATATATTAGATTATTAGTGTTTTGGTTACAAATTTTATTAATAAGATTTTGAAGGTAAAGAATATGCTAATCATTGGAGAAGAAGTATTTTGTACCAATATTTCAAAACAGAGGAAATTTCCAAGAATGTTTTAATTTTAGATGAATCAAAATTATAAAGTATTTTGTAATGTTAGGAAGATTTATTATTGAAGCAATTTTTGTGTTTGAATAATTATTGGAAAAGTATGAGTGAAAATTTTAGTGGTGAAACATCTATCAAATTATATGAAAAGTTGGAGGAATTTTGCAAATTTTTAGAAGAGAAGGCTTAGAAATAGCAAAAAAAAAAAAAAAACAAGATTTAGTTATAATGTGCACATTTTGTTGTGCTATTAACAATTGTTAATCTATATTATTTGAGGATAAAGTGATATCTTGGTGTGATCTAAGAACTATTATATAAAAGAACGATGATGTAATTTAGATATAAGTTCTAGAGTTAAGAATGGGCGGTGATTATAACAGTAATGTCAAGCCTTTATCCTACTACGTGGGGTTTGACTACCTGAATCCTTTTGTCTCCATTGTGTCCTATTATCTCCTATTGGAGCTACTCCAACCTTTTCACATATATGCTCATTTTCCTTTTTGTCTCTAACAGTGAAGCCATCCATCCACCTGAGCATCCTCATCTCTGCAACACTTCACTTTATTTTATGCTTCTCTTTTAACGGCCAACATTCTGCGCCATAAAGCACTGCATGTCTCACTGCCATCTTATAGAATTTTAGTAAAACATCAATTAGATTGGATATTTTGAATCGATCCAAGTGTTGGGCATTTAAGAATTAGTTTTTATTTATGGTAATGTGAACCTGAGGTGTAGATGTTCTTAACTGCTATCCCACTTATTCACAGGTTCCACCAACTCGCGCAAAATCGCCGAAGCTTGGTCGAAGGAAGAGCTGTGGTGATTCCTTAAATTCTTCCCCTGCCGATGGCAACAACAAAGTTACTGTCCGTGTTAATCGTCACAGCTTGGATAGTAGTAAAGATGGCAGTAAATCAGGAAGCTTCAAGAAGAGAACTCCATGGAAAGTTGAAGAAGAAAAGCAACAAGGGAATGTAGTAACTATCCAGGAAACTACTGAGGCAATTGTGCACTCTTGAACTGTGAGTTCTCACTAGCGATAATTTCTCCTTTTACAGATCTGAACTAAATACCAATGTGTGCTTGATTGCATGATGGCTGTAAATCTTGTAGTTAATCGTAAGGTGCACGTAACTGAGCACCAATGACTTGCCAGTTTGTTTCCCTCTCTAAGAACTGTTATTGTCGTTGTCGTTGTTGTTGTTGTTACTGTTATATTCTTGATATTACCGTTGGATTTGTAACCTTTTTACCAAACTGATCTTTGAAACCAAAGGACCGTTAAATCTTTTGGTGAAATTGTGAGTCAAATTTCATTCATCTTAGAGTTGAGTACCTCGTTCAAGAATTTATTTTTATCAAACCTGTAATGAAGCAGTAGAAAAGGGACAAAGCCCCCTGTGATACACCAGATAAGGGTAAGATAGATTGAATGTATTTTTATGCATAGTAGTATATCTCATGTTTTACTAAAGCAAAAAAGTTTCTTTGATTGTTGGGAGTCGAATAGCACTTGTGGAGTATTTTGTATTGGCAGTTGCAGGTGAAATTATTCTGTGCGGATACGAACGCTGTCCGAAGGTGAATCAGAACGTGGCACATCACATGTTTGTTGTGTACTGTGGTTATGTACCGCAGTATACCGGGTGATATGGTACACTCTACTTCGTCTCTGAATGGTCCGGTGTCCGCACAGAATAATTTCGGGTTTCCACTTTCTGCTTGTCTGTGTTAGAACAAGCCATTGCCAAAAATCATCTGATCTTTGGATGAAAAAAATTGAAAATTTTAAAAAATGATAAAAAAAAAAACAATATAAAAACTGCTTCTGAAGAAAATTTATCAATCTTTGCTGCATAATATTGGAGCATTGCTCTATAATCCTAATTCACTAATCAAATAAAATTCAAGGAATAATGAGCTGGTATATTGTGGCATTTTGGATATTATATGCAATTGATAGGTATCCCGTGATTGAGATTTTAATAGATGTATGAGTTGAAACTTAAAGCATCAACAATAATTGTATTGTTGATGCATGCATCACCTACCAGAATTACTTGATTTATAAGATAAGCAGAAAACTCGTGTTATGCGTGGATTAAAAAATAAAAAGAGAACTTCCCAAATTTAGTTTGACTGATGCGTAGTCCCGTAATGATTTAGTGTATTTTAATTTAATTTATTTATTTATTATGTTGCTGTCAGCCTAGCACATCGTAACTTCAAGAAAAAAATAAGAGATTATTTCTTGTAGAGTATTCACCCATGTTTAGCTTGGTTAATGGGAGAGTATGATTGGAAATCTCCAATCCGTGTTTGATTCCCCCTGAGCGGCAACGCCTCTTAAGTGGGGTTTAATCAAGTGATGGTTAGAAGGTTTTTGAGGTGGGTGTCTCTTCTAGGTCAATCGATGATTGTTCACGCTGTCAAGCGCTTTTTTGAGGTGGCAAAGGGTGGATACCCCGTTCCAAAAAAAATTTCTTGCAAAGTCTGGATGTAACTAGTAGTCGGATTAATGTGTACACGCCACGTGATTTCTATATAAGAAGCGTATTATACATACTATGTGTACAAGTTGTATAGGATATGTATAGGTTATGTGACTTGTACATATTAGAACCCGGATATCAGCTACTTTCGAACTCCGCACGTAATAAATTCTCCTAACTTTGATTGTCATCAATATGGCAAAACCCTAATAAAAGTTTTTTTTTTTTTTAACTCTAAACTAAAAGTAGATAGCGTCGATTCAACTTGGAGAAAAAAATTGGTTCGGAGTATCTGCAAATCACGCGCGAAAGCCGAAATAAAGGATTTTGTAAGTAGGGATGGTGATGAAGTTCTCGCTGCCTCGACCTTGGCAAATGAGGCCAGAGGAAATTTATGCATGGGTTAAAAAATGGTGATCAGGTCTTTCAATGTGTCCACATCAATAAGGGTAATTGTTCGTATGGGAGAAACGAGACAGCATCATTCACAAAGTTACAATTAATTATTCTGTGCTGATATTGAATGTCATCTAGAGGTAAGTCAGAGTACTTCACATCACCTCTTTATTTTATACCATTTGATGTGGCGAGTTCTGATTCGCCTCCGGACACAAAGCTACATTGTGTCCGCATAGAATAATATCTCTTTGGGGTTAATTATTTTGTGCGAACACCGGACGGAGAACCGTCCGAATTTGCTCCGCTTTTACTGTTCTTTTGTTGTGCTTTTGCAAAAGGGCAGTGTTAATATTTACTGTCATGTTATACTGTTGACCCTAAACCCTAAACCCTAAACCCTAAATTTGTTGCGTTTTTACTGTCCTTTTGCAAAAGAGCAGTAACAACGCATTCATAATTGAATATTTGCTACCCTTTTTGAAAAAGCGCAGCAAATTCGTACGATTCTCTCCATCCAGTGTTCACACAATAATTTCTTGTATTTGGGATGGTTTTCTTATTATTATTTTAAATAGTTTTTAATACATAAATTTACTTTTAAACAAACAAAACTTAAATATTTGGTAAACCTTTTCACATTTAAATTTTTCACATTTAAATTTCTTTGTTGTCCATACAACCTTTGTTTTTTTCAGTATTTTTAGTTGATATCATGTTATATATGGAGGAGTGGCTCTGCATAATATTTAAATTTGATGATTATTGGAGTAAAGTTAAGAATATAGATAGAAATGTGGTGGAAGCAGAAGACAATAAAGCTGGATAGAACTTCGTAATTTTTGTGTTAATAGAGGAGATAAAAGAAATTTATCATTGGTTAAGAGGCCATGATTATGAAGTTTACTATCATAGTTGTTGCGGGCTAGAATATACGCGGCGATAGAGTTAGAAAATTTTCGTCTGAGCGTTGTACGAATATCTAGCACACACAAACAGAAGATAAAAGAGCACTAGGATTTTTATGTGGAAAATCCTAAAAAGGGAAAAAATCACGGGGCCACGCCCAGTTGAAAAGTTCCACTAGTGTAGTTTGAGATACAAGAGGCTGATTCGTCCAACAAGTTAGGACGATCAGATTACAATGAGTTTCTTTTGAATTGAAATTCAGTTACAAAGTCGAGCAGAGTTCCGGCGTCACTCTGGCGTCCGGCAGGATTCTGGCGTCGTTCTGATGACGGGAAGAACTCCGGCGGTGGTCGAGGAGGAGCTGTTCTCTCCTCTCCTTCTCTTCTCTTCTTTTCTTCTTCTTACTTGGGTCCCCTCTTATGAGAAATGAGGGGTCTATTTATAGTTTTTCTGGAATGGCATGGCTCGTAAATAGGTGTGAGATCAGGGGCAAATAGGAAGTGGCCGAATGAACGGCTGATATTGAATCCTTCGATCGTGCACCGTTCGTTGGGCATTTGAAGGCCTTAGTGATGTCAGAATTTGACGATTTTGGGCTCATTGGATTCGTCTCGTTGAGCCGTTCGATTCGACTATAAGCTCATTAAAATCGGAGGCCATTTGGTTACTCAAATTGTGATACGAGCTTTCTAACAGCACTTCGGGTGCTTGATTTGGGCTCATTTGGGCTCGGATTGAGTTGAATTTGGTGTCGTTGGGTTCGTATTTCCGAGACGCTCAGTTTGACTATAAGCTCGCTGAAATTGGAGTTCAGATGCTCCCGAATTTAATTTTTGAAGTTTCCAATTCAATTTTGCCTTGAGATTCGTGCTCGATCAAAACAATTTTTAGAGAATATATCAATAGTATATCTCCTAAGGAATATAAGCTTATTCATTATAATATTGAGGTAATAAAATTAGCGAGTTTGTTTATTCGAAGTGGTTGATCTTAGATAGTTTTTATAACCAAAGTGGTCCAACTTAGCAACACATGAGTTGACCCAATTATAGCCGGATGAATTAGTAGAAAATTTAGGCTTCATTTGGGAGGACTTTCTTACTGCTTCTTAAAACAACTTTTTAGTATAAAAATTTTAATTTTTGTACTATAAAATTACTTTAAAAAGCCGTAAAAAAACTGTCCCAAACGAAGCCTTAGATTGTTCATATAAATCCCAGCTAATTGTTGATTTTAATAATAATAATAATAGCAGCTATTGTGTGTTCTACAAAGCGAAGGAGGGGAAAATCCTTTGGCAGCTTTACATATAGAATTCCATTGCTTTTAAAACTTTTTTATACTAAAAAGTTATTTTCTACAATAAATTAAATAATTACTTTTTCTACGATAATTTATAAAATGATAAGAAAATCATCCCAAATAAAATATCCCGATTATCGACTTCATACCCTCTCTAGCTTTCTTCTAGACCTTACTGGATAGGTTTAGAACCATGCTAGATGGTAATGAAGCCACTGTCTATCTCTATATGGGCATTTTCTGCTTCTATGATTTTCCACTTCTAGTGTCATTGCTTATCGGCCTCGTGTCCTTGCCACGCACTAGAATTTAAATTGGGAATAATTCTATCTTTTATTTTTTATAATAATAATCAGAGCTATCTAATTTCTTCCAATAATAAAAAACCAGCAAAAACAAATCTATTAATCAAAATATCAAATATACATTTGTATTCATTATCTCAAAAATCATATCCAATATAGTCAGGAGATGTATAATTATAATATATTGTTTGCCCGCTCCTGAACACAAAAGACTAATTAAAGACTAAAAAGATAAAACAACAGTAAAACCTAAAGAATCATGTATCTGATCAATCTCACACTCCTGATCCTCTTCTCTGACTTAAAATCATTTAATAACATATCAGGTCACAAGAATCCTACAATTGAATTCAGTATGAAAAATAGATAATATGCATGTAATCATTTCATTCATAATAGTTGTAATCAATATGATTATGAATTTATGCAAAAATAGTAAAACACATGCTGTAACAGTAAAGCATGTTAAATAGTATAATGCATATGTCGAAATAATAAAGATGTAAACGATCATTCTCAAACCAAATCTCATAGCAGTATTATCCAAATAGTGAAGAAATCATATAAATCAGTAAGACTAAAATATCTATGAAAACTATCAGAAATTTATAACAATGAGAAGTGTTATTCAAGAATCGTATAGAAGTGTACACATGAGATTCAATTATTATGTTTCAGTATTAAAGCAACATCTTATATCACATGTTCAATAATATATGAATTGTGTCCTTGGTAACAGTAAATCAGTAATAACATTACAATAAATCATGTCTAACAATCATATTAAACAAGGAGTTCTGATTTGTGTGGTGTTTTTCCAGTAACAATTGATTTTCAATAAATGGAGTCGTCACTCCTACCCATCAGCACAATATTTAACTCCTTATAACTCCCGATCAATAAATCAATAGAGGATGACATCACAAACCACGGTATATAAAGGAATATGTCGACCAATCATCTTGTACATATATAAATCAATCTCAAGTTAACTTCAATAATAAACCAGTCATTGCTTGTTTTCACACACATTATTGTACACATTATTGCAAAAGTAATAACAACTAATTATTACTTATTCATATGCTTGTATTTATTTATAATACTTGCATTAACAGTATAATCATATAAAAATACTAAAATTATTATTCATGTGCAAATTGTTCAAAATACAATAATTTTAACTTTAACCGGCAAAAATATAAAACCAACTACTAAAAATGACCAGAAAAATCAGTAGTGCAATATACCAAAAGTTATGCGGTGGATGTTTACTAAATCAGGAGAAAATGCAATAAATATCAATTTATGGATTTAGGCAGGAGAATAAATCAAAAATCAAAGTCTATACAAACAGAAATAAGATAGAAGTCACTTACAATGATCTGAAGAAATTTTGTAAAAGCGATAAAACGAACCGATGACCAAAAGCCCTATTTCTTCTCTTCTCCTTCCCTTCTCCCTTACCTTTTTATTTTTTTATTATTTATTTTCTAACTTTTTTTTCATATATGATTTTATCATAATAACTGTTTGATCATAATTATTTTTTCTCTTTCATTATAAACTATCTGGCTCATGAACAGATTACAACTAATAAAATTAGACTCTGAACTCTATTAATAAATTAAATTTAAGCTCAAACTAAAGATGACTAGAACTGAGCTCCACTCATTACACCCATAATATTACCTTTTCTCATTTTTGGAAATCGCTTGGTGAGGTGGCCATGTTGCTAAGGCCTGAGCTTACCATGGCTGCCGAGGGCTTCTGGTTAAAATTAAGTGGGCCATGAAAGCAAAATAGAAGAACCGGAAAGCATGGCGATTTGGTAAAGGCTATTCTAAATGAATTTCTTGGCTTATTGTGCTGGTGGTGTAAGTCTTGCCTTGCCGGGTTGTACTTCTCTTGGAAGCTTCCTTTTGGGATGATGATGACTTGGTTTAGCCCCTTCCCTTGCCTAAGGAGAAATTTTTCCGTGCGGAGTCCAGACGTACTCCGCACGTAGAGTTGCGTGCGGAGTCCAAACGTACTCCGCACGTAGAGTTGCATTTGGACATGCGAGTATTCTACATCCAAACTGTGAGTGTACACACTGTGTACACTCATATATCTGAACATAACAATATATATGAATTTTGCACGTAATAATTTCTCCTGCCTTAGATGACATCCTTTGTAACCTCGACCTGATCTGCCTTTTCTTTTCATGGATGCAACGAGGCAGAGGCATTTCTCTGGGTTATTGGGTTTCCCTACCTTCTACTTGCCCACCTCCAAGTGCAGAATTTTTTACTATCCTTCTTCTATTACAGCTATTGTAATATTTTGGGGGTTGGTTTTGTTTCCTTTTACAGCTCTTTTGTTAGCTGCCATTTTTTTGCAAATTGAAATGTTTTTTATGAGTAATATAGTTTGAGCTTTGGTCTTAATTTCCCAAAAAAAAAAAGGATAAATACTAATCAAATTCTAGGGCTTGATCTATGCTATAAGGGATATAAAAAATGATATTTGAATATTACTGAGACCCTGGATGTGCAAATTTTTCGCTTATATTATACAAGAGTTTATCTTCATAAAACATCACATACCATTTGTCCTTAACCATATCTCAAAAAATTGGGGTAAGTTACTACACTAAGTGCTGACTATCTGTCTTTCTAGAGACTTTTTAGCTCACATATGCAATTGTCATTTGACTTTGAAATATAAAATTACTAAGCCTATCAATTCACCCTATCAACCTCTGTAGTATCTTTTGCATTTTGAGGAAAGAACATTTCAAGAATTGATTTCATTTATTTGGATTTATTTTAATATCTTCTGGAGTTAATAAGAAGCCCAATAATTTTTCAGATTTAGCTCTAAAGGTACACTTCAAAAGATTCAACTTCCTGTTCGAATTTTTAAGAGTAACTTTCCTTGAGATCAAGAACGTGCTAGTCTTGAGTATTGCTTTTAATCAAGAGATAATCAGCATAAACTTCAACATTTTGCTCGTTTTTATCTCAAAAAATATAATTCATCATCCTTTGATATGGTACACCAACATTTTTAAGACTAAAGGTGATGTAGAACAATAAGGGTAAAAAAGGGAAAATGCAAAATTAAATAAAAATACACTTAATAAACTAAAATGAAATAAAGTGATCTCGGCCGTCGATCTTCAGCTCCTCCTCGGATAAGCATGGCCGGTTGGATGTCCGCATCAAAAGGGCATTACACTATAATAATAACATGTGACCTATGATGAAGACCATCTTTTCTGAATTGGCCGAATATTTTTGATTTCGAGAATGCATCTAAGAAGCTCATCACAGGACAATTAATTGCATCGTTGATTAAGGCATCTACACATGACAATGGCTAATTATCTTCGGAGCAGCCCAAATTTAGATTTCTAATAATAAAACACATCTACCACATACTTTTCGACTTTTACATTATAACCACATTAAAAATCCATTCCGGATATTAAACTTCCTTAATTAATCCAACCTCTAGGAGCTTTTGAATTACATCACTAATTCACTTAGTTAACATTATAAAGACTAGCCAAATTTTTTGCTTAATTAGCATCGCCTTTTCAATAATGTTGACCCTATGACGAACGACGTTAACGCCTACACCCGATGAATCCACTTTGGAAGTGTAAATCCACTCTAAATACTACACTTTCTTGATGAATCCATCCTCCAGGAGATTTTGAACTTTTTCATGGATTAGCCCAGCTAAAATTATTGCAATTGGCAAAATCTTCTGCTTAATCAGCCTTGCCTTTCAGTCATTGTTGAGCGTAAGGAAGGCAACTTGATGTTTGTACCTGGCATTTAATCAACCGGCCAGGCGAATACATCCAAATTCACTCTCATAGTTGTGATCCACTCAATCTAATACGAAATACTTGAGTTCGCAAGTAATCCTATCGGATTTACTTGAGTTCGCAAGCAAACCTAATAAATAATTAGTAAAACAGCGAGAAAATGAAGGAATCGTGGCAGAAGAACAAACAAACGATAGCAAAATCTTATAACAATCAAAGGGAAACAAGAACAAAGCAAAGATACAAGAGATCCTCAATTCGAGAGGAGAATCGTCTCTCCCAAATCTCTAGACAAGATTTTCTACAGCCCAAGACTCCAAAAAACCCTAATCTTAATCAATCAAAACATAATCTCTCCCTAATCCCCTCATGCACTTTAATACAAAAGCTTTCTTAATCTAATTTCCCTCCCAAAGCTCTAGCCGCCCCCCTTTCTTAAATTTGAAATTCTAATGATGGGACCCATCACAGTCCGCCTCTTGTATACCCGCTGGACAACGGGCCGGTTCAGACAGAACCGACGTAACACAATCGTCCTTTCTTTATTGAAAGAAGTGCTAATTTGAAAGCTGCAGCTTTGATTTTCTTCTAAGATTGACACTTCCTCAATGACTTTAGCATTCTCCAACCCATATTCTATTTGGATATCAAGTTGAAGAATTTCATCCTACATAATCCCTACTCTTTTTAGATAACACACCTTAGATTGCAACAAGTCACCTTTCACTATCATTATATAACCTCTCGGCGGGAACTTCACGACAATATGGTATGTAGAGGAGATTGTTCATAATGTGTTTAGTAGTGGTTTTCCAAAAATGGCACTGTAAGTAGTTACTGCATTGACTACGATGTGTTGGAAGAGTCATGGTTTTTCTCATAAAAACTCTTGAAATTATTATAAACCGAGCTCCATGCGTCTATTATGATGCTAACAATTTGATAGTTTGTGATGAGTGCAATAGGGATTATTTTCTACCTCTTTGTTGCTATTCTACTTCATGTAGATCTCCTCTTCTAGTTAATGGCAAGCTCCAAGCTAACTGTATTTTTTAAGATGTTGCATTCAGAATTATCCATGAATTACACCCAACTATATAGAGAATATTGTGTGAAAAGAGAGCAGAGAAATAGAGAAAGGGAGAGAGAGAAAATAATCCTAAGGAGAAACTATGAGATTCTTGTATGAGCTTGAGTACAAAAAATTGTAAATTAAGCTCGCTCCTTGACCCCATATTTATAGATTTGAGTTGTGATTTGAGTGTTACCGAAATACTGACATATATGTCTTTATAGATTATAAGACAAAATTACCATAATTGTGAAGTCTAATTAGAATATCTGATTTCATGAAATTGTCCGCCAAGCTCCTAGAAAATAGTTGGCTTGGCATATTGATGGTCAAATATCTGTGTAGCCAATCAATCATTTTCCATGGGAAATTGCCCCCTTGAATAGTAGCTAGAACTGACTTCATAGATTGTAGTTGTTAAGGCCATCTCATAGGCCACATTCACCAAAGTTTTTAAGGCCATCTCATAGGCCACATTCACCAAATTGAGATAAATTCTTATATCGCATTTGTCCTCTAGAGGAAAATTTATTTGTAGATCGGTGAATCTCTCTTGAGCTAAGTCAAGAGTGGACCAAATTAGCTTGCCCTGAACAATATCAACTTTGCTTGAACTAGTTTGATTTAGCTTGAACCCGGTCGACTTAGCTTGAACCCGAAATTCTAAATATTTGGATGCACAACCTCCTCTCACTTTCAATTCAATATATGTAAACTACGCATCAAATTATTTTTTGATGCAAATTTGGTTTGTTTAAATGGAATGTGACATTTGGATTTAAAAATATAACATATATGACCAACTTATAACCGCAAGTAAATTAGTTGCAGCCGTAACTTTAGTGCTGGTTGCTACTCTTTGAGAAAACACATTTTAAAATATTCTAACAACAAAACAAAATAACAAGTCATATCAAACAAAACCTAAACCAAAAAACCTAAGAAAATGCATTTTGTCTCTTTAAGGGTTTTGCTAAAAAAATTGTGAGAAGCGCATAATGAATTGAGATTTTGCTGACGTTCTTATGTGTGTGTCTATATATTTAGGTAATTGGGATAACAATAATGATCATGAAGAATTGTCACACAAGCATAACAGCTTGAAATCAAACCAGTTCAAATCACAATAATTTCAAGCCAATCACTAGTTGGGGTTCTAAATCTCAACCGAAACAAATTTGAGAATTTTTTATTGCCACGGATCAGCCAGACAAAAGAAAGAAAATAGAAAAACTTCAATTTTTCTCATTTTTATGACTGGATTAATTTGTATAAAACTTGCATGCAAATTTGATGTTCCATAGAAAATGATTAATTTAATGAAAACACAAAGCTACTTCCATACCGTTGAATTTAGACCTTAACTCATCATCTTCAGTCACTTATCCATGAAGAGCAAAGCCCGGCATCTACAGTTCATTAAATCTCATAAATTTCCAGCAGCACCAACTTCTAATGCATTGTCAGAACTTGAAGATGAACCAGGTCCGTAGAATTCACTCAAGCTTGTCCTTGCCAATGCTTCCCCAGATAACGAAGCCTGCGTTGATTTCAAAATGCGAACTTCGACAAAATCGCCAGCCACTGGTTTCCTTAATTCAACATCAGCTGCCGAGGAATGCCGAAGAGGCATGCAAGGAAAGGAGACTCTGTGGCCTCTATCACTCTTTCCTGTCAATTCAGTTTCAGGATGCCTCTTATTAGGTCCTTCTACAAGAATAAGCTGAATGGTCCCAATCTGTGAATCAAAGCACTGCCCTTTGCTCTCCCTAAAGGCCTCAATAATCTCGGTGAGTCGTCTTTGCTTCACATTTTCTGGCACATCATCGGCATAGTTCCTGTGAGCATGCGTTTTCTCTCTCAAGCTGTATGCAAACATGTAAGCATTATCATAGCCAACAGCCTTCATGAGGCTTAGCGTATCTGCATGCTCATCTTCTGTTTCACCACAGAAACCTGTAAAAGACACAATGTGTTGTGATATCTGAGGAAAAGAGATGGTGAAAACAAGGTTTGTTTACAGTTTACAAGCCAGAAAAGTATGCTATTGTTAGTTTGTTACAATCCTGACGGCAAACAAAAGCTAGTTACGATTTTCTTTTATTTTTTCAATAATAATTGACTTTCAAGTCTTTGACAGTCTTGAGAAAATGCTCAAACCTAGTTATTTCTTATTTTTCTATATATATATATATATATATATATATATATATATATATATATGAAAAATTTCCAAACAAACAAATCACTAAAATTTACGAGAAAATATTCCAAACAACCAAAAAAGGAGTTTGAGTTTGAAACTGGTTCGTGTCTTACTACAAATTAATGACAATATCCAAGATAGACTTCTATCTTTAAATAAAAAAAAAAGGAAACAATGAAGCAATAAAGTTTTGATACTCTGCTTGCCTGTAGAGCAATAACCTTCATATCCACAGTCTCAGTATGAGTCTGTAGTGCATCAAGATATTGCTCTTTAAGCAGAAATGCATTTATTGTCGTGAAATCTTAAAGATCATATTTCACATATCTTTGCGTTTCCATGAGGCTGGTCTGCGAGAACAAGTTTATCTCATGCTGATCCATATCACCAATTTGAGATCAGCTTGATCATAAGCTAGATGGTTGGAAATTGGCTACCCAAAATGAACTAATTCTATTTTGAGACAGTTAGATTCAAATTCTAGCCTATTTGGAGTCCTTTTTTTTTAGTTAAAAAAAACATTGAATGTAAATGTTTTCACGTTTAGATAGAAGATCAAGGCCATCTATTCTCTTTGATGAATTAAAACTATCAATATGCATGATGCCAAAAAAAATTTAGACTGATGACCAATCGGATAGATGAAAATTTTCACAATAGATAGGTCTATTTGCATGACAAGTTAACTGCAATTTCGAAGTATACAGACCTTCAAATGGCTTGACATTCAATACATGGATTTTTAATGATATCTCATATTATTGCACGGTTTTGATTCTTGAAATGCATAGATAAGCCTAAAGTTTTAAAAAGGCCCATTTATGCCATTCAATTGTCCTTGTAGGCGTCAAATACTTACGTAATGTTTAAACCGTCATGAAATTTGATGAAACATGAAACTTAATCCACATAGCCGATCCCACGTTGTGGGACAAAGGCTTGATGTTGTTGTTGTTGTTGTATGAAACTTAATCCACATGTAATTCATATGTTCTAGATCGCAACCCACAGTGTGATATTGAGTTTAAAGATTATATCAAGGGTCAACAAGAATATAGAATTAGGAGAATGATCATTCTCTTAGTAGGAAGAAAATCTCTATCGCTTTAGAGAGAGAGAGAGAGAGAGAGATTTTACTCTGTACTTCCCATTTGCTTGAAACATGGCCCTATATATAAGTTTTGGAATAGGTGAAGGTTAGAAGAAATAAATCATACCCTCACAAGAAAGGAAAAAAGCAATGCACCAACAACTGAACTACATATAGAAACTACTAACTATATATGATAGGAACTACCCTTCATTTTCCTTCCTAATCTCTTTACATGATTTTATCAACTCATCTAAAGGTGAATTTTATACCCTTCAATGTACATGTTTAAGCCACATAATACTATTTCAATCATCATATAAAAAATAGATATCACTCCAAAATTTAATATAATCATTCATTAATTTATGATTCATATTTTTGCTACATATCCATCTTCACATTCTAACTCCTGCCACACTCATTTCAAATATCAATAGTTTTTTTACATCCCAACATTCAAATTCACTAAACATAGTAGGTCTAATTTTGATTTTATAAAAGTTATCTTTAAGCCTCCAATATATCATCTTACCACACAAAATTCTAGTGGAATTTCTCCATTTAAATCAGTCGGTCTTAACTCCAGAGCTTACATCATTATCTATATCTTCATTCTTCTATGGAATAGAAGCAATATATTTAAATTATCGCACTTAAATATCATTTTATCTTATAATAATATGGAATGATAATGATTAACATCATATCCACTAAAATTATATGTTGTATGCCCAATATTAATTTTTTTTAATTCCAATGCATTTATCTAATAAACGTGTTCTCTTTATACTAAATTTTCACTTATTTCATTAGATATATTATTATTTAGAACCATTTCATCTGCAAAAATATACACCAACGAATCTTTTTTTAAATATTGTCTATAAGCGACTTCATAACTAATATTATACACACCCACACACATCAATGAATCTCTCGTTAAATATTATTTATAAGCAACTTCATAACTGATACAATATATATCTATGTGTATACATATATCTATCTCCAAATATACATATTCAAAAATGCAATGTTATTTCTTACCTTTCACATTGTGTATTTCAAGAAAAGACATGAGTATAATTGAACTTCTAAACAAATAAACGATCTCTATCATCTTAAGGAATCCAATAACTAAGGAAGCTCAGTACAACTTGTATTATCATAGTTTCTTTCCAAAATATTTAAATCCTATAAATAAAGGATATGGATTTGATACCTTTGTTTTGATTATCCTTCTTTTGTTATTCTCAAATAACTTGTTTGTTACAACAACAACAACATCAAGCCTTTATCCCACTATGTGGGGTCGGCTACATGAATCTTTTTTCTCCAATGTGTCCTATTAAGAGTCAAATTTTTATTAAAATCTAATAAAGAAATGTCATTTCTAATATTTTCTAGCCAAGTCTTTTTAGGTATACCTCTACCTTTCTTAAAATAAGCTAAATCCAATACATCTTCTTTCTTAACCGGGTCATCGGAAAGCCGTCATTTTATGTGATCAAACCATCTAAAGCGAAACTCACTAGTCTTATCTTTTACAGGAGCTACTCCAAACTTTTCATGGATATGTTTATTTCGTATCCTCTCTTTAAGAGTAAAGTCACTCATCAACCTAAGCATCCTCTCTGCAACACTTAATTTAATATTATGCTTCTCTTTTAATGGCCAACATTTTGCACCATAAAGCATTGCATGTCTCATAACCATTTTATGGAATTTTTTCTTAAATTTGAGGGGGAATTTTTGATAGACCGGTACAAGAGGGACCCGTCCAGCCAGCCCAGCATTTGAGCCGACCCATGGTCTATAGCAAGCGTAAGTCTGCTATCCCGCCTAAGCTGGGCTGGACGGGTTCCTTGCTTGAAGAGGAAAATTTTGATTAAAGGCAATATTGGATTAGGGAAGGGGGCAGCTGATTGAAGAGTCCACTTGCTTGAAGAGGAAGAGGAGAGTTTAGGTAAGACTGTACCACAAGGGAGAGGGGGGTGGCAGATTCATGAGGTTGTTTTAGGTATGTTTTGATTAAGGGAGGGGTTAATTAGCAATTAAGAGTATTGTTTTGATTAAGGGAAGGGTTAGGGTTAGAGGGATTCTGTTTTTGTGCCTTGTGCTTGGGCTCTAGCGACGTCTAGAAACATTTGGATAGATTGATCCTCCTCTCGAACAGAGGATCGCTTGTATCTTACTGTTTTCTTCTCTATTACTATGTTATTTTTGTTGAACCATGTGTTTTGTGTGAGAATTGGTGGTGGAAAGTCATTGAACTCCAATCATTGTTAGGATTTCTTTTGAATTCCACAAGAGCTTCCTATCAAATTGGTATCAAAACACTTTCTTGGGAAGAAAATTATTTTTTATTCGTTGTTTTCATGATTGGAACCTAGATCCAATCTATGGAAGCAAAGAAAATGGATGCATTGGAGGTTGAGATGGAGCAACTCAATGCCGGAGTAGAGGAAAAATATTCTGGGATGAAGGGAAGACTCTCGGCCATCGAGAAGATGATGAAAAGATGTTGGAGATGCAATCAAAAGCATCAATGATGAATCAAAGGGGAAACCACGAGGAAAAGAGATCCAGGAGGACGGTGATGAAGTTGGAGTATTTTCACGAGGAAAAACTACATTTGGACACGACTGAGGTCTCCTTGAACTCAGTAGTGGCATTCACCCCAGCTGAAGTCCTTAGTTTGTGCAAAGGATTGGTTGTATGGAAAACAGGTAAAATGTCATTTAACCTAATGAACTCTTTTGTTACTCATTTTTTTAGTGCAAAGTGTCAAATGATTAAGTGCTCAAATTTAATTGTTTATTTTCTGCAATAGTAAATCATCCTGAACTTGAGACTTTGACTGAAGATATCATAACTTTAAATGTAAACCCACTTGAAGTAGAACTTCATGAAAGTTCAATCATTAGATAATTTTTTATCCTCTTGTGATCTTGGTAACATGGTTGGTTGTTATTGTTATTAAACTGAATTTGATTGTTGGTTGTTGGGTATTGCCATAAGAGCCCAAACTCTTAACTATCGAGATATTTTCCGCTTTGGTCTAAGGTTCACACGGTTTTGTCCTAGTGGTATAACTTCCCATAAGGTCACCCATCTCAAAATTTCTCCCTGATGAGCATGCTTAACTGAGGAGTTTTTAATGGCATTTCAACATTTACATCAAAAGACGTATCGATGTTCAAGAGTTTAACTTTTTTATTTAAGGGATTTCATAATCTCCCTCATTTAAGTAATTAACATCCTCGTCAGAATGTTTATCCCAAAATCATCCACCAGCCAATAAGATTCTAAAGGTGACCCTACAAGTTCAAGTGGTGACTCCTATCACGTAGACTTTGTCCCATATAGAGTTCAAGATGTGGCTCCCATGGCGTAACACTTTGTCTTGTATGGCACTTAGTTCCCATCTTCCAGCTATTATATAGCTCTGATACAAATTGTGATGCCCCATAATCTAATTTAGAAGAATTTTTTCTTTTATCTTTTATTATATAACAATCAGAGCTATCTAATTTCATCTATCAGAAATAAAAAAACAAAAAAAAAAATCTATATATATCAAAACATCAATACACCCTTGCCTACTTCTCATAACAAACAAGTTAGTTGGTGGCGTATTGCTTCTGGTAAAACATGAATTCTAAAATAAATTCTCAACCCTCATTCTTTCTCACCTAGGTTAGGGACAAACAACAACGATAATTAAAAAAACAATATATCACAAAACATAATAACAATAATAATTTCAAAATAAAATTTTGATATCAAGTAATGCAACTCAATCAAAATGTACTAAAATACAAAACATGTCCATTAAACATGCCATCCATTACTCTAAATTGATTACATATTCTCGCTAAATATTTTACTTGGAATACATATGGTGGCCCCAATATGAAAGAACGGGAGTACTAATGCTTATGTCATAATCATGCATATTGTAAACACTATGTTATCTAAGCATTCAAATGAAATAATAATTTCATATAATATATGTGCAATAACTCAAAGATCAAATGGTTGAAATAATGCATGAGTTCAAATAATCTCATCCAAGAAACATGAAACAATTACCAAAGAAAATAAATAATGGCGAAGATAATTATAAAAGCAAAATACGAAAATTCTAAAAACATATCAGCACAAATCAGTTGAAGGAGATAATAGATAAATCTAGATTGTAAATGGGAACCAAGTTCAGTCGTAAAATCATTTGCAGCGCAACAATGACAAAAGAAAATTAGCCTTTATAATAATAATAATAAAATCATACATAGATCTTATTGGAAGGAATTGATATTCAAAATGGGCAGCACAGACCCTACCAAGCTCTATAATTCATATAAAGCTTTGGTTAGAAACATAAAATGATAGGGTAGCACAAATAATAAATCATGATGGGTTTGGATAAAAAGAGATGACTATGTCAAAAGAAACATAGAAAACAATGAGAAGACTTCAAAAGAAGACAAGAAAGCATACCACATATAAAATCACTGCTAATCCCAACATCTGGAATGATTGAACGTATTTTTTTCACAAGGTCCAAATATGCTTCCCTCGTATAACCTCGTCGCATTCTCTGGAGTACAGTGGTGCTCCCTGTTTGAGCAGGTAGATGAATGTTTTTGCATATATTATATCTATCCCTCATTATATATAGTAATTCATCAGGAAAATCCTTCGGGTGCGGCGATGTATATCTGAAGCGCATCTCTGGAAATTTCATTGATAGTTGATCCAAGAGATCAGAAAACCTTAAGCCCTTGTTTCTCACTCTGCAGTTGTTAGAGAATCCTTCACTTAATTCCCAGCTAGATCCTGGTTCAACATCTTTAACTGCGGAAAGATCGTTGTAACTGTTAACATTCTGTCCAAGAAGCATTACTTCCTTCACTCCTTGTTCATGTAACTCGCCTACCTCTCTCACAATTGATTCTACTCGACGAGATCTCTCCCTTCCTCTAGTAAATGGAACAATACAAAAGGAACACATATTATTGCATCCCCTCATTATTGATACAAAAGCTGAAATAGTGTTGCTTGAAATTCTTACAGGACTAATATCAGCATAAGTTTCCTCCAGGGAAAGTAATGTGTTTATTCCCTTGTGACCATACTCAACCTCTTCCAATAAACGAGGTAAGTCTCTGTAAGCATCTGGTCCACAAACCACATCTACCATTTTTTCTGCATCAAGTATTTTCTCCTTCAACCTCTCAGCCATGCATCCCAAAACGACCACCTTTGGAGGATGCAGAGAGGTACACCTTCCATTAGCAACATTAGTCTTCCACTCTCTTTTTAGAAACCAGAAGTAGTTGAGTCTCTGCCATACCTTTTGCTCAGCATTGTCTCTGATGGCACATGTGTTGATAAAGATGACCTCTGCATTCTCTGGGGCTTCAACAATTTCTGTATATCCATCTTTCTTCATGATAGACAGCACAATCTCCATATCATTAACATTCATCTGACATCCATACGTCTCCTGGTAGATGCGGCCTTTATTTGCACGTTTAAAAGTTGATTCTACACTACATGAAAAAAGGCATAAGGAAAGAATTAACAGAGGCCCAATCTGATTGCTTGAATTTAGAAAATGTGTTTTGAAGAAACAATAAAGTTTACAAGATCCACCATTTGGTTGGGTATACGCAAAAATCTATATTAACTTTTAAGCTCCACAAATACTCTCAAAACCCACTCAAATATAGTCACTTCTGACTGCAAACACAAAATTAGTGAAACAAGCATCATGATTTTCGAAAATGTATTTTCTAACTACAAGTAACACTAAGCTTAAAGACCGGTTAAACAAACAGAAATAACCAGAGATATCAGCATGCAGCAAAAATAAGTTGGCCAAAAAAAAGTCCCGAAAATTGTTTGAAAAATAATTCCATTTGGAATACAAAAATTTCAGGACAAGAAGTTTTGATTGTTGGCTTCAGCATGTTCGGATTCACTAATGTTTTTTTTTTTTTTAATGTTTTCAAACAATAAGTACTTAAGTGAAAAAATATGCTCAACACTTATGCTTTCATTTCTTATTTTTGGAAACAAAAATTATTAATTTACTGAAATTATGAAAACAACATTTTGATATTCTCCAAGGTTTAAAATTGCGCAATTGGGTATTGAGGCGTTTTTCATTCGTGAGACGAGACACTTATGCAATTGGCTTATGTCTCGCCTCACGAATGAAAAACGCCTCAAGGCGTCAAATCTAAAAATAGTGTAAAGTAAAAATAAAAGTTAAAATTAATTTTTTATAAAATGTCCAAATAATATGTTAAAAAATGGCATATTAACTTTCTATTGAACTATGAAGTAACAAATTTACATACATATGAAACAAAAAATTGCGCAAGATGTAAAGTGGTAAGTAATAAAGTATGTGAAATACAATTGAAATTCAAATATTATAGAAGTAGAATAACATAAAATATATGAATTACATAAATGTATCATAACATCAAGTTCAACTCTAAATTTCTTCTTTCTCAATTCCCTACTCATGTGCATTTAATTACTGAAGAAAGTCTAAATAATTAGCAACAACTCATAAATCATATGTATCATCATTAATAAGGGGATTTTTATTTGAGTCGTCATAACAAATTGATTTTTTCCTCTGTCTCATCTTGTAGGGTCCAATACCCCCAATCTACTTCTTCATTTAGTTCAGTCATCTTCCTATTTCATAAATATTTGTTATAAATATAAAGATAAGAGTAATACTCCAAAATTTTTAGAGGAGATGGTGGTGGGTGTGGCTTTCAAGTGATCCCCGGTGAAGGCTACGACGATGGTGGGTACGACTAAGGCATCAACGAAACAAAGACTAAAATGCCCCTTGGGCTACAATAGAGACCAAATACCCATAAGGGTAAAAATGGAAAAACTAAAATAAAAATTACTACATAACATGACAAAATAAATAAAACTCCTGATCGTGGCCGTCGATCTCCGGTGTCTCCGATGGCACACATGTCGAAATTGCTGACGATGTCCTCATCATAATCATTTCAATTGCAAAAACAAAATTAGTGAAACAAGCATCATGATTTTCGAAAATATATTTTCTAACTACAAGTAACACTAAGCTTAAAGACTGGTTAAACAAACAGAAATAACCAGAGATCTCCGCATGCAGCAAAAAAAAAGTTGGCCAAAAAAAAGTCCCGAAAATTGTTTGAAAAATAATTCCATTTGGAATCCAAAAATTTCAGGACAAGAAGTTTTGATTGTTGGCTTCAGCATGTTCGGATTCATTAATGCTTTTTTTTTAATGTTTTCAAACAATAAGCACTTAAGTGAAAAAATATGCTCAACACTTATGCTTTCTTTTCTTATTTTTGGAAAACAAAAATTAGTAATTTACTGAAATTATGAAAACAACGTTTTGATATTCTCTAGAAACAGGTCCAAGCGGTCTTTTTGATTAACTAGGCCAATGGATTTTAACTGGGATAATTTTACATTAATAAGGTTAATTTGGGATCAAATAATACTTTAGTTGAGATGTTCAAAAGTGTTTAATTTTGATAAATAGGTATGAAATAGTTAATCAATTTAATAATTAATTAAAATAACTTATGATTAAGTACTTATTTAGACTACTTAGGAGTTAGGATTAATTAGAACATCAATTAAGGACATAAGGTAAATAAATTCTCATTATTATATAATAATAGTTTGGATTAGTTTAATTAATAAATTAAATATCTAGAATATTTGGTAAATTAACTACTAAATTAGGGTAATTAGGTTTTGATTAAGAACACCTAGCTTTTATTAGTATTTGATATGATAATAAAAGTTGGAATAATTAATTGATTACTGTAATTTCGCTAAGTTGGCCACAAATAAGTTGGAATAATAAATTGATTAGGTTTTGATTAAGTTGGCCACAAATAAGTAATAAATTATTTAGCTAATTAGGGGCAAATTAAGGTTTCAATTAAATTATTAATACTTTATTAGTTTTATATGAAGATAATTAAGATTCAAATTATTAATTAATTCAATAATAACTAGATGAATAGGTAACGATTTATACAAACTAATAAGGCATTAAGCAGCCTGACTAATTACTAATTCAATATTTTTTATGGTTTTTAGGATTTTAAATAAGGTCATTAAGATTTCAATAGTGTTTGATTATTACTGTCTAAGGATTGAATAACTGAAGTACTGAACAACTAGTTAAATTTTATTTTAAGTAATTAAGTATATATATAAACCTAAGAAGCTATCAATTAATTAGTAGTTATGATAGTAATTTAGATTAATTAGGAAAAAATAATTTTAATTTGCATCACTAGCATTTGATGGAATTATTTATGAATAAACATATTTAATTATGCTAATTAAATATACATTGGTTTTGTTTATTGTTTTGAAGAAAAATGTTCCCTATTTCTTGTCCAAGCATGGCCTTAAGTTTTAGGATTGGTTATCAAATATCAACCTAACATCTAACCAAAAACCTTTGTCATCCAAACCTAGACTGCAGTCTCTGGAAAAAGAAAAGAAGAAAGATTGAAGGAAGACAAAAGAAAAATGGGAGTTTTAAGCTTGCTTGCTGGTACAGAACTAGCAGTATTGCTTTTAGTCCAGTTTTCTAAATAATTTTGTTTATAAAATGTGGCGACTAATGTGTTTTAAACCCTCCTGTCATTGATATGACTAGAATGCAAACACCTAGACATTTCGCAAAAGCAAATGAAAAAGTTCAAAATCAATCATTACCCAGCAATCTAGTTGTAAATTCGAAGGAAAAAAAGAATAAAGAAAGAAGCTCACTGCATTAGTGTTAGGTCGGTTCTCACTGAACCGGCCCAGCCGGCCCAAGGAGAGAACGATCCTCCTCTCAAATTGAGGATCAATTGTAACTTGCTTTGTATTTGCTTTTGCTTTGAATCCACTGTTACAAATTATCGTTTTGGATTGATTCATCAAGATTATCGCATTATTCTCACTGTTTTTATCAATTCTTGCTAGGGTTGCTTGCGAACTCAAGTATTTCCTATCAATTAGCTGTTATGGCTCAACTTGAGATGCTTGAAAACTTTGTAGTTGCCATCTTTCTTTCTTAAGAAATTCAGTTATGGTACTTCTCTTTATATCCTCATTCCTCCATTGCTCACTACGTATGCTGTCATTTCTCAAAAGTGTTTTCTAAATTAGTTCGTTCACAAGTGATTTTTTAGAGGCTAGAGGACCTAATATGAACATACAAAACACAGAACAAACGAAAGCAAATCAGTTTAGCAGCTAAAGACGCAGGATTTCTTATATAGATAACTGGGATATGCGCAAATTTGGGCATAAAAATGCATATCACCGCATCCTATGAACCTTAAATGAGCCGCTGAGGTCTTTGCAGCAACAGCAACCGACCTATTCGAGCTAAAGCCCAATAACCCATTAAAGAGCAGAACGAACGACAAATTTTCAATAATGACAAACAGAACTGTGAAGATAACAGAAAAAAAACTTACTCTTGTTGGAGGCTCTCAGGCGCCAAGACTTTGGCCGGCAGGGCAGCGCAGAAAAGACGGAAGGTTGGAGAGGACTTTACTTTAAAAAAATTAAAACTCTTGGAGAATTGGTGCAGGCGCCTCAAATTTATAATTTGAGGATTACCGTAGGTTTTCAGAGGACGAGAACCAGCAGAGTTAGGAGGAATGGAGAAAGAACGACGGTGCAGCGAGCGGAAGTGAAGACTTACGCGTCTCCGCAGCGATATATTGATGCTGTTGGCCGAGTGGGGTTGGCTCCACAGAGAAGCCATTATGCAATTTGTCGCAGTAGGTAAGAGGTAGAAGACGGAAGAAGACGAGCCGAGGTGATGGACCGTTTTCAGGCTGCGTGGTTGCTTCGAGCTCGACAACCCTACCTATTTCCACGGAAGCTGAAGGGCATTTACATGCATGTCAATTTATAACATATTATTTATAAATCTAATATTTCATATTTATCACTCATACATCAAATATAAATACAATAAATAAAATATTAAAATTTATGGGTGGTAGAAATGAAATAAAGGGATGACGTATTTGATATTAAAGTTATATGTAAGTGATAGACATGAAATATTAAAATTTTGAATATTAGTCTATTTGATATGTAAATAACATAGTATGTATGTAAATCTTTCAAATTTAGCTAATACTTTAAACTACTAGTCCTATAATAATGTTGTATGTGATATTTTTTTTTCCTTAGCCTCTCATATCAACTAGTTATAATCTGACTTTTTTCATAAACATGATCCACAGAGCAACATCAATCATGGCACAAGAATGATATGGTAAAATAATTACATCAATGTTACAATGTACACTCAAAAAATTAGTGTAGGCACATAATGACAAATTAAGTTTTATTCACCCATTGCCCGAACTTACATTGAAATATTACATGTGTGAATTGTATGCTTTGATGGAGAAGTTTTTTAGGCTTGATCTCACTACAACATGATATGAACTATTGTTCATTCATCATATAGATGTATGATTTGAGTGTCTTGATACAATCATTCTCATAAGCACCTAATAAGAGTTTACATTTGGCTACATCAAGTATCATGAACTAGCAAATATGGCTATATTAGCTCACTTAGAGCTTCATTCTCATTAGGATAGCACATTTTATCTTATATTACTTGTTACTATCAACAAGGTGATTACCCCTACAAAAACATCTCTGAAAAACTTATGATACTTCAAATTATTTATAGAAATAATTATATCAAAACAAAATTTAAACATATTTTTATTTGACATAAAAATGGCATACCAAGTTCATTGGAGATTATCATGAAATTCAAGCCCTACACAAATCAAAACTTTGCATATAATTGTAGAACACATCTCTATGTTCCTTTGAAAGAGATCAACTAACCTCCTTTTAGTATGAATACAAATAAAATAATATCATTTAATGCAACTATGTCATAAGTGTATTGATATCTCATATTTATGTGCTTCTTCATATCATAATTTTGGATATTTTACCCTCATTATAGCAACAATGTTTGTCTTAAATAGTGCACCTCTTTCTAAGCTCTGGTTGAGGCATTATAGGATGAAAGAAATCTCTTAAGCTATATGGCCTCTGGAATGCTACAACATATGTTATGTACTCAACATTATAATAGACAATAAAACATGTTAGTGCTTCTTGTTGCCTTAAGAGGCATTTCTACGTTCAAAAAAGGGAAATATTTCTAGATGTGGATTTACACTAATCTCTATCTCTAATCCAATCAACATCAAATATTGTCAAATAATTTCAATTTCCCACCTTAATAGTAGCAAAGGTAGGTTAACAATGCCCTTAAGGTATCAAATTGTTACTTTTGTTGCTTATAAAGGATTTGAGGATGTATTACTTTGATGGAGAAAGACCAATCCCACAACAAATAGAATATCGAGTGGACTTCACGTCATTGTATACATCACACATTTTATTCCATTTCTATAAGAAAGATGGGATAATCATTAGGACTTATGATGCATCTTTTTTTTCTGATGAATTTTTTGGGTTTAACATTTTGTAATCTAATCTTAAATTCTTTTACTTTAAGATTGGTCAAACCAACTTAAGAGTAGCTTTATTGAACTCAAGTGATTTTTATTCCTAACATAAAACCATCTTTTGTGATGCCCTGAGATCTAATGGAGGAATTAAATCTCAAAACATAATTGAACACAATACAGAATAAACCAAATTCAGCAAAATAATAAAAATAATATTAGTTGTCTAAAATATCATTCAAAATTCATTTCTAAGAAATTGTATACAATAATCCATTTCATATGGAGCTATACATAAAAATAAATAACTTGATTACAAAAATACCCCAAAATTTTTTGATTCTAAATGTCATTTCCTTATCAACCATGTTCTATTGGTCCTTCTCATTTCCCTAACTAAAATATCAAAAAATTTCACAGAGTGAGTACAATAAGCTCAGTAGACCTCTTCTACATTCCCATCATAGATATCAATGTCCATTTTATATTAGCAATAAGATTATTCAATATAAAATTTCAAATATTAGAAATAACTTGATTGCTTATGGAATATAAATGCATATATAAAATTTAACATGAACGCACTCTGGAGTATCAACCCATAACTCATTACCTTAATTAGCAATTGTATACTTCCCTTTTTATAGACCAATTATCTTAGAAATGTTAGAGATAAAATACACTGGTTAACATAGCAACACTTATACCTTTCCATACATTCATTTTACAAACATGTTAGAATTTATTTATCAGCATAATCTTTCTTATACAACAACAAAAATATCAAGCATTTATCCCACTACGTGTGGGTTAGCTACTTGAATCCTTTTTATCCATTGTGTCCTATTAAGAGTCAAATTCTTGTTTAAATATAATAAAAAAGTCATTTCCTAACATTTTTTAACGAAGTCTTTTTAGGCCTACCTCTAACTCTCTTAACATTGGTCAAGTCTAATACATCTACTCTTCTAACCAGGTCATCAGAAGGACAATATTTTATGTGACCAAAACATTTAAGGCCACTCTTTTTAATTTTATCTTCCATTGGAGCTACTCCAACCTTTTCATGTATATGCTCATTTCATATTTCATCTCTAAAAGTAAAGCCACCTATCCACCTAAGCATCCTTATCTTTGCAACACTTAAACTTAATTGTATGATTCTCTTTTAATGTCCAATATTATGCATCATAAAGCATTGCAGGTCTCACCACCAACTTATAGAATTTTCTCTTTAATTTGAGGGATACTTTTCTATCACACAACAGGCTAGGTGCTTTTCTCCAATTCAACCATCCAACTTGAATTCTACTAATAATATCCCTATCTATTTCGCAATCACTTTGTAAAATAGACCCTAAACCCTAAATAATCTTTCATTATAGGAAAAACGTTAGTTTCTGGCGAAAATAAATCTATTAGAAATCCCGACAGATTTTCTAGCGTATTTCCGGCGAAATATTCCAACGGATTTCTTGAGAAAATTTTTATGGGATTTCTAGTTGATTTTTGAAAGAATTTAAATTGTTTTGAAAAATAATTATTATAAATATTTAAATTGTTTATTTTGTTAAATTAAATTAAGTACTTTAATAACTTATATCAAATTATATTACTTAAATTAAATATTATTAAACAAACATAATTAAATATTTTAAATAATTATTGTTATATTAAATCAACTAATTTAATAAATTAATTAGCTAATCAAATATATATTGTTAAATATTTTAAAAATAAATATTGTTAAAATAAATTAACTAATTTGATAATTTATTTTTAAATTAAATTAAACATTTTTAACCTAATTTAAATAATAGTTTTCTTGATTATCTTGATATTTCAAAAATATTAATATTAATTTTAATTATTTATTAATTTAATATTCTATCACTTACTGTTCAAATAAAAAAGAGTAGTATTATTAATAGAACTTACTCCGTGGATTGATGGTTGGGCATTTGATTATTCTATGAAAGGACCTGGTTTGAACTTCGTTGTGGGCGTAGCGGGGTGCATAGGCGAGCCAGGCAGGCCGACGGGTTAACTGGCAGAAAAGCATGTGCTGAAAGGCTGGTTGGCTGTGGCTGACAGATTGGGCAAAGTTTGCATAATTTTTTTTAAATTTTCCTCACAGTAATTTATGGAGGATTTTTTTGCCGGTATTTGCTTTCCGACGCATGTTTTACCTATGAAAAGTGTTACATCATAAATATTAATTAACAACAAATTTTAGTCATTTTCCGATGAAAAAGGTTGTTAGAAAATGATGTTTTTCATGTAGTGTTTCTTATATTGAACTTATTTTTAGTATTAGAATATTCATGCATGAATGTACCATGTACATATCCCAATGCATGCTTATAACTCTACTTTCATTTATATCTCCCTTTAAACCTCCTACACTAGCAAGGCAAGTGGGTTAGAACATAATAGAAATCTCATGTACCCCCATAATACAAGTTCAGTTAGAGCAGAGAAGAAAACCTTCCACATCCATAAGAGGCAAATGTGGTCAGAACAAAATATATAGGGCCCTTGTATTTTAGAAAGTGCACTTGTATGTGTAAAAGCCTACTCACTAAATATTTCCCTTTTCAGTTATAATTCTATAGGAACATTCTGAACATCGTTTTAAGGCTTTTAGAGCATTATCATGAATACTAAAAATGCCTCATTCATTAAATATACATAGCATAATAACAGAAAAAATCAACCAGAGTAAATTTTCAACTTCTTATAGTCTGTCCATAATAAAACATGCTATAATATACAAAAGGTTAAATAATGAAAAATGTTGTAAACCCCAAGAAATACATTTTTATCCATATTTTTGTGATAAACTCATTGGAATTGAAACCAGATATAACTATTTAGAAGTCTATCTCATGCCTAACAAAACTTTTAACTAGCTTGACAAACGAGTTCAACTCAATGACCTCCAAACCTCTCTCCCCTTTTTTCTCTCTCATCCTCCTCTCTCATTCTTTTCTTACTTCTCCGTCAAAGTGAGGGGCTGGGGTAAGAGTATAGTGATATTAGAAATGGATTTAGATATGTATTTTAGAAAAAATATCACTTTTGACCTAGCATTGCGACGGTCGCTTCTCCAACACCGCAACACTCCAATAAAATATTCCAAATTCTCCCAAATTCTTCTAAACTAAGAGTTGAGTGACATAGCACCCCTTCATATCTCTGCAATGCTCCTTTAATTCCTCTTCCCAAATAAAGAATGTAGCGCATTAGTGTAGCCATTAATTCCCAATGCCATAGTGCTCCCAAGAACATTTTGCCTCCTATGAATTTCTCTTTCACTTCAATCTCTAAAATTATTTACAATTGATTAGACCCTATGAG